GACTATGCGTCTGAAGAACGTTCATCATGTGTCGTCCATAAATAAAAATCTCATTAGCGGTTCCCGTTTATGTCGAGATGGTTTTAAGTTGGTTTTCGAATCCAATAAAGTTGTAATTTCTAAGTATGGACAATTTGTTGGAAAAGGCTATGAGAGCGGAGGCTTGTTTCGCCCGTCTTTATCAGATATTTGCACTAAAGTTATTAATAATGTTTGCCACAACAATGAGTCTGATATTTGGCATTCACGACTTTGTCACATTAACTTTGGTTGCATGACGCGGCTAGCCAATATGAATTTAATTCCAAAAATCTCTACTGTCAAAGGCTCTAAGTGCCAAGTATGTGTGCAAGCTAAGCAACCTCGCAAGTCCCATAAGACTACAGAGGCAAGAGACTTGGCGCCACTAGAGCTTATACATTCTGGTCTTTGTGAGATGAATGGCGTGTTGACAAAATGTGGAAAGAGATACTTCATGACGTTGATTGATGACTCCACTAGATATTGTTATGTGTATCTTCTAAAATCAAAAGATGAGGCTTTAACTTTTTTCAAAAACTATAAAGCTGAGGCAGAGAACCAACTTGATCGAAAAATTAAACGGCTTAGGTCTGATCGTGGTGGAAAGTATTTTTCCAATGAATTTGATCTGTTTTGTGCGGAACATGGTATAATCCATGAGAGGACGCCTCCCTACTCACCTCAGTCAAATGGGGTAGCCGAAAGAAAGAACCGAACTCTAACTGATATGGTTAACACCATGTTAGACACATCGGGTCTTTCCAAGGAATGGTGAGGGGAGGCGCTAATGACTGCGTGTCATGTCTTAAACCGAGTTCCCACAAAGCATAAGACCATGACTCCATTTGAGGAATGGGAAAGGAAAAGATCGAAACTCTCTTACCTACCTACTTGGGGTCATTTGGTGAAAGTCAATATACCAATTCCCAAGAAGCGCAAGTTTGGACCAAAAACCGTGGATTGTGTTCTTCTGGGCTATGCTTTTCATAGCATTGGATATAGATTTTTGATAATAAAATCAAAGGTATCCGACATGCATGTTGGTACGATTATGGAGTCGAATGATGCAACTTTCTTTGAGGACATATTTCCTATGAAGGATATGTCGAGTTCATCAAATCAGGAGATACATACTCCATCTAGTGAGGAATTCACTGTAATTCCTGAACCCACTATTGCGATGGAACACGTTGAGAATCCTGTTGTGGGTGACAATGGAACTCCTGTGAGGAGAAAGAGACAGAGGACTGCAAAGTCTTTTGGTGATGATTTCATTGTGTACCTTGTGGATGACACACCCAGGACTATTTCAGAAGCCTATGCATCTCCTGATGCTGACTACTGGAAGGAAGCTGTTCGTAGAGAGATGGATTCCATCTTAACTAACGGTACTTGGGAGATCACTGACCGTCCTTATGGGTGCAAATCTGTAGGATGTAAGTGGGTGTTTAAGAAGAAGCTTAGACCTGATGGTACGATTGAAAAGTATAAGGCACGGCTTGTGGCCAAGGGTTATACCTAGAAACAAGGTGAAGACTTTTTTGATACTTACTCACCCGTGGCTAGACTGACCATAATTCGGGTGCTACTATCACTGGCTGCCTCACATGGTCTTCTCGTTCATCAAATGGACGTTAAGACAAGTTTCCTCAATGGAGAGTTGAAGGAGGAAATTTACATGGGTCAGCCAGATGATTTTGTAGTACCTAGTCAGGAAAGAAAGGTGTGCAAGTTATTAAAGTCTTTATATGGCCTTAAACAAGCTCCTAAGGAGTGGCATGAGAAGTTCGAAAGAACATTAACTGCTGCCGGCTTTGTAGTAAACGATGGTGACAAGTGCGTGTACTATCTCTATGGTGGGGGTGAAGGAGTTGTTCTTTGTATGTATGTCGACGACATACTGATCTTTGGAACCAAACTTGATTTAATCAAGGAGGTTAAGGATTTCTTATCTCGTTGTTTTGAGATGAAGGATCTAGGAGTAGCTGATGTTATCTTAAACATCAAGCTGTTGAGAGATGAGAATGGTGGGATCATACTGCTTCAGTCTCACTATGTGGAAAAGGTCTTGAGTCATTTTGGATATAGCAACTGCACGCCTTCTCCAACTTCATATGATGCTAGTGTGTTGCTTCGAAAGAACCGACGGATTGCTAGAGATCAACTGAGGTATTCTTAGATTATTGGCTCGCTTATGTATTTGGCGAGTGCCACGAGGCCTGACATCTCTTTTGCTATGAGCAAGCTGAGTCGGATTGTGTCAAAACCGGGAGATGATCATTGGCATGCGCTTGAGAGAGTTATGCGCTATTTGAAAGGCACCGCGAGCTATGGGATTCACTACACCGGGTATCCAAGGGTACTGGAGGGTTATAGTGACTCAAACTGGATATCTGATACTGATGAGATTAAGGCCACAAGTGGTTATGTTTCTACAGTTGGTGGTGGCGCTGTTTCCTGGAAGTCTTGCAAGCAGACTATCTTAACGAGATCAACTATGAAAACAGAACTCACAGCATTAGACACTGTCACTTTTGAAGCAGAGTGGTTTCGTGAACTCTTGATGGACTTACCTATGGTTGAAAAACCAATACCCCCTATCCCGATGAACTATGATAATCAAATTGTGATCGTCAAGATAAACAGTTCAAAGGACAATATAAAGTCCTCAAGACATGTGAAGAGGAGACTAAAATCTGTCAGAAATTTGAGGAACTTCGGAGTTATTACGTTGGTTTATATCCAAACGTCGAAAAACTTGGCAGATCCCTTCACAAAGGGTCTATCACGTAACGTGATAGATAATGCATCGATGGAGATGGGCTTGAGACCCACCGCATGAGTTGTCCATAGTGGTAACCCACTCTATGTGATCGGAGAGTGAAGTAGAAGTGGGAGACAAGCTGTTGGTCAGCTGAGAAGAGAGTATCCCTATATTAACTATCCCACTCCGTGAAGATGCAATACTCTCCTGATCTGCATGGCAGGTTGATACTTATCTTAATGTGTTTCAAGTGGCTTATTCGGGTAAGCAGAGATGTTGTCCTGCAGAACATCTTCTGAGGAACACATCTATATGAATTTGACTGTTAACATCGCAGTCTGTGAGAATTGGGTGTTCTCTAATAAATTCATGAAAAGCCCCTGGAGTACGACGTATACGCTCCACCCGCGGGGAAGCCTTGCGGCAGCCCAGTATCGGTCAAGAATTTGTGTGAGACTAGTCTCGCAGAAAACTTGTAGTTCAAGGTACAGTCCACTATTTAAGTTGTGATCTAGTGTAGCATAAATCTCTAAGTGGAAGTTCAACTTCACAGTCTCCACTAAGCACCGGTATATAAACAATGTTTTGGAACTAAATGATGAGATGTGCCAATAAAACTTTGTGGGGAATTGTTGGAATTTTGCTAGTAGGCCTTTGGCCCAAAGCCCAATTAAAATTCTGAAATTCTCTTGGCCCATTCATGCACACATGTGAGTGGAGTGAATGAGGCTAAAGTTTAGTCCCACCCTGGAAGTTGAGAGAGAGTTGCACCTCTTTATAAGATGAGCTCTTCTACCACTTGTATGAGCATGAGAAGAGGAGACCTACACGCGCGCTCCTCCTCCTCGCTCACCTCGCCACGCCGCGCCGCGGGTTGCGGGATTGAGCCGAGCCGAGGACAGAGCTATGCATATTGTCTCGGACGTGGGGTTTACTCCCACGACCTGCCCGGCCCGCACTATATAGTCAGGCGGACGTCTACCCTAGCCGCCGTCGCTTCGTATGGTTTCTCACCACCGTTCCAGATCATTGCGCCGCCAAACAAGTCTTCTCCATTCCTCCTTTCGGCATGTACCGGGAGAAGGGATAGCAGGCCTCCGGAACCCCGCCTCTGGTGATCTTGTACGGGAGAGGGGCAATCAGGTTTTTGAGGAGCACATCGCGCGACTGCTGGCAGCGACGACTTCGTGAACGACGACTTCTTCCCCGACCTCGGCAACCTCATCCTCGACGACATGGGCGACAACGTCAACACCGGCGGTGCTGCTCCCGCTGCACCGTATGTGATTCTATCCTTCCTGTTCGAGATCGTGATAGAATTCATGTTTCTAGTATGTGCCCTAGATGTGATCTGTTCATCTGCTATGCTAGTTCGTATGATTAGTTTAATCTCTGCTACTGTAGTCATGATTTATTTTCTAATTATTCGGATTAAATCTCATAGTAACTTGCTTATATTTCCAACATGAAGAACAAGATTGGGACAAATTTATTCGGACGAAGAAAGTATTTGCAGCTGCAACTAGCATCGCCGACTTGCATGACCGTGACATTATTATACAAGCCTCCAAAAGCAAGTCCTCACGGGGTTTTGGCACAACTTGTGCGTTCGGTGAGACACGACCTGGTCTAAATCAGCGACTCCTGGCTAGTTTTTCAATTGAAAACAAAGAACGCGCACCAGTTCACTGATAAAGACATGCCCTCACATGACCCGATAGTGAGTGAGTGAATGAAATTCAGACACTACGAGAAAGCCAGATTTTATCCACGTGAAACAGAAAACAGCGGCTTGCATAACTTTACACAAGCCTCCAGAATCTAAAAAATAAAATAAAGCACACAAGCTTCCAGAATCTAAAGCAAATCTCCTCACGGGGTTTTGGCACAACATTCGGTTCCAGAAACTTCACAGATAAGATAATCATCGCCTTAGCGAAGCAGTGCACGTGAGCGTGCAGTGAAACCACCCCCCTTCCTTCCAAATCAAGCAATGGGTGACAGCCAGGGATCACAACAATCTCAGAGTACTCACAATTTTATTTGCCAAATACACTAGTAGTAGTAGTAGTCAGGATGATGAACTGCAGGCGGGACGGCCAAACCGCACGACTCATTTATTGGCAGCACTAGCAGTACTACAAACTACACAAAGGACGGGCGGACGAGATTAACCGGAGCGGACGCGGATCGGCATGCGCCGGAGGGGGACGGATCAGTTGGCCGCCGGCTTGAAGGAGGTGAGCTGGCGGGTGTTGGTCCAGGACTGCTCGTAGACCTCGGCGACGTAGGGCGCGCTGTTGCCGGAGCCGTCGGCCGCGTCGACGAAGAGCCGGTAGTTCATGCCGGAGACGACCTCCTGCTCGCCGCGCGTGACCCGGCGGAACCGCAGCCCGTCGCTGGCCAGCCTCGCGTGCTGCTCCACCGCCCACCCGCCCAGCTCCTGGATGTGCGCGTCCCTCACGTCCGGGATGGGGCCCCACCCGCCGACCCGCGCGCCGCGGCCGCCCAGCGCCACCGCCGGGGCGGCGGCCGCGAGGCCCGCGACGAGGAGGGCGAGGAGGAGGAGGACGGGTCCCCGCGCCATGGAGATGACTGGAGACTGGTCTTGGGGGTTGGGAATTGGGAGCGGTGGTGGATCTGCTGGAAGCGTCGAAGGAAGTGATTGCGTGAAGGCGGTTTGGTTTGGGCGCACTTGGGTCGTGATGGCGAATTTATTGAACGGTCTTGGTGCCAAGGGCCCATGGGAAGTGGCGACAGGAGAGCGAATGACTTTTTGGACGCAAACAATGCACGTGAACGTGAACGCTGCATCTCATTCGGCCTCCCTATATGACTTTTTGAAGCTTCATAGGGCCCCTCGGCACATTCCAGAGTGCGCCAACGGTTTTTTCGGCGGTTTTCAGTTTCTTTATTCTAATTTTTTTACTGTCGGCAAGGAGGGCCAATATTGGACGCCTGCGTTGCGTGCGTCCAAGAGTAGAGCTTTCCCCCAAGGGCACGCAAACGGGCCGGCCTCATTTGCAAACGGCGAATGTAAATCTTCATGAAGAAAATGAGGCGTGCGGAGTAGAACTCCGGACCTCAGGATACAGAGCACGGTTGATAGCGAGTCGAGTCGAGTCGAGCTAGCAAGTCTGCCGTGGTAAAACGCAGCGCTAAATTTTAAGTAGTAGTTATAGTGGCAGATTGTTCTAAAAAAATTTACAGTGGCAGATCCGTTGTTTTTCTCAAAAATTTCAACATTTCTTGGAGAAACTATGACAAAAATTTCTTAAAGAATTTGAATAATGTTTGAAAATGTGAACAGATTTCAAATTCTAATAAAACATTTAAAGCGAGAACAAATTTGGAGAAAATGTGATTTTTTTAAAACATGAACATTTTTTATACACTGAATTTTTTGTAATATACACCGAACAACTTTCACATACATAATGAACATTTTTTAAGATAAGTTGAACATTTATTGACATATGGTGAACATTTTTTAATATACAATGAACATTTTTTTAATACACAATGAACTTTCTGTATAATACGCAAAAAGGAGAAGAAAAAAGAAAAGGTAAACGGAAAAAACCGAAGGAAAGAACTATAAGAAAAATCACAGAAAATAAAAAAATAAAAACATATTGTGGATAAAGAACAAAACATGAAGAAAACAAACAAAGAAAAGAGAAAGAAAAAACAAAAATAAATAAATAAATAAATAAATAAAAGAAAATCCGGTTTGGAAGAAGGTTCCTAGATCCCTCAGCAAATAAAACAACATCGAAGTCATGGGCTGGCCCATGTGGACGCGACAGATGATGGCTCACTTCAGCAAAAGCGCATCTGTTTGCCTCTAATGTGCACCCAATACCAATAGGTATTGTCGTTGGCAAAAGGACCCAACGTCTTCTCTACTATCTCTATCTCTACTAACTTAAAAATCTCTGTCTCTATACTTCTCCATATCTCTATATCAATACATACTAATATATTCCCTCCGTTTCTAAATATATGTTTTTATAAAGATTTCACTATGTAGACTACATATGAAGCAAAATAAATGAATCTATACTCTAAAATGCATCTACATACATCTGTATATGATTCATAATGCAATCTTTATAGAGACTTATATTTAGGAACGAAGGGAGTACGAAGGAAGATTCATACGTAAGTCCATCGGCCTGGCCGCACGCGATCGAGCAGCCACCCGTTTACACATTGGCCTCGCTCATTTTCAGGTGCGGTTATGTCCCATCTGTTCCGAGGAAGAAGCCTACCTCGCCTACATAGCACCGCTGGTGGACCGACCAAGTAGGACGTGCATGTCATGTTGACGACAATCAAATTTAATTTTTTCCTTTTTAATTTCTTTATATTTTAAATGCATATACCACATAAAATTAAATTTATGTAATAACTTTAAAACCACAAATTTGAAAAAAAATGTTAACATGATATAAAAAATTAGGTAGTGCAGTTTTTTTTAAATTAGAACTTTCAAAAAGGTGCGTAGGCTCATCTGCACCCGGTGAACAATAAAATAAGAAAAGAGCAGAAAAATAAAAAAGATAATCCTTTTTTTCCCTCCAAGATGCTCAAGGGCATGATGTTCGTGGGTGTTTCGACATTCGAGGTGCCCATAGCAAAAAAAAATACAAATTCACGCCCCAAAATTTTGCAGAGACATCCCGCACAGAAGCAGAAGAGGTTCATGGGTGACGTCTACCCACTAGAAAATCATTTTCCATGGAAGTTTCGATGGGAGCCCAAGAATTCGTGAGATACTACTAGTAGTCCTCGCTGTAAAATGGCTGGACCTGGATGAACTAGGTACGAGACACTGTCAGAACTGCCCAAGAAGTCCATGGATTCCGTGGAAAGATGAAAGGGAGATCATTTTCTTGCTCCGCCCGCACGACACGGTGCGGAAGATACTACTCAAGGAAGCAGTACTACTCACTGCAAGGCTCCGGTTGCTACTTGACACACACGCCCGTGTAGTTTTCTGCCCGGCGTCTCCACGCTGCCAGAAGAAAAATCGTAACAATGGCGAGTTTTTATGGGCTGCGCGTGTGCTTCTTCAAGGCAAACACTGCAACCGTGGCAAAGGAACCATGCAGTCTATGCTAGCCCTTGGTCTGCTCCTGCTGCTGAGCATCCACGCAGAGATGGCCTTGGCGGCGGAAGACGGCCAGTTCGCCTACCAAGGCTTCGCGACGGCGAACCTTACGCTGGATGGCCTTGCCGGTGTCACGCCCAACGGCCTCCTGCTGCTCACCAACACGGAGACCCTGGGAAAGGGCCATGCCTTCCACCCTGCTCCACTCCGCTTCCTCCAAACTTCCACGAGCAGCACCGCCATGGCGCGGTCCTTCTCCACGTCCTTCGTGTTCGCCATTACTTCCAACTACGATGGGCTGACCAGCTATGGGCTTGCATGTTGGAAATATGAGCAATTTACCAAATAATTTTATTAACAGAAATACTAGATAAAGCATGACTAATATAATAGAGATAAAACAAGTCATGCATTCTCACAAAGAGAAGGTAAGTAGCTTCTGCATATATGAACCGTAGCCTATCATATCTGTAGCAGACAGTAGAACTAGTTGCATATATGAAGTAGAACCTAACATATTTAGGGCAAGTATTAGTACGAGAAAATGCGGCAGGATATCTAACAGAAAGAAGAACACATACGGGACAGCAGCAGCAGTAACACTGGACTTGCGGTCGGTGTCCTTGCCAGCCATGTCGCCGAGGAGGTTGTCCACGTCGGGGAAGAAGTCGTCGTCGGGGAAGTAGTCGTCGGAGTCTGGGGCGTCCGTGACGAAGGAGTCAGTCAGTAGTCGCGCAGAGCGCTCCCCAAAAACCTTATGACCCTTCTCCCGTACAGGACTCAAAGAGGTGCGGTTTCGGAGGCCTACTGTCCCGACCTGCGGTGCACGCCGCAAGTTGGGATGAGGAAGACAGCAGCAGCTCAGAGATTGGAACCGGTGGCGAGAGGAAGGAGAAGTTCTGGTGCGTCTCTCTAAGAGGAGCGACCTCCCTTTTATAGGCGCAAGAGAAGGAGGCGAGAGGCTGCGCCAGGACCTGAAGGGAACGCGGGAGACGAAACAAACAAACAACAGCCGAAGGGTGCAGCGTTCGTATTCAATGTCCACTACAGCAAAAACTTTCCAGCTCCCGAATGACCTTTCGTATACCCGTAGTGCGTGACAAAAATTTAGACATCGGCTCGGCTCATTCCCGCAACGCGCGGCGCGGCGCGGCGCGTCGTGACGAGGCGTGGCGAGGCGGACGGCGGAGGAGGATCGCGCGCGGATGTCCCTCTTGTTCTCATGCTCATACAAGTGGGGAAAAACCTCCCTTATAAGGAGGTCCAACTCCCACAAAACTAGCAATGTGGGACTAAACTTTAGTAGTATCCCTTGCTTTGCACAAATGAGCTAAGTAGGCCTCTAGGATTTATTAGGAATTTCTGAAATAGTTATTGGGTTGCCCCCAATATAGACTAAATTCCAGCAATCCCTCACCAGATCCCAGAGGCACACAGAAATTTGCCTTTGGTTCCAAAACACTGTTTTATATACTGGTACTGCAGTGGAGACTGTTAAATTGAACTTCCACCTAGAACTCTATGCTACACTAGTAAGCAACTTGAACAGTGGACTGGGACTTGAACTGCAAGTTTTCTGCGAATCTAGCTTCACATAAAGCCTTGACCGATACGTGGCTATCGTGGGTCTTCTCCGCGGGCGGAGCTTATGCGTCATACTCCGAGACCTTTCATGAGTTTTCTAGAGAGAACCCTACTCCCATAGATTGCGACGTTTAACAATCAGACTCATATAGGTGCGTTTTTCAAAAGATGTTCTGCAGGACAACATCTCTGCTTCAAAGAGTCACTTAGAACACATTAAGATATACATCAACCTGCCATGCAGATTAGGAGAGTATTGCATCTTTATGGAGTGGTATTTTAACAGTAAGGGTACTCTCCTCCCAGTTGACCAACAACTTGTCTTCCACATCTAATTCACGGGATCTCCGATCACAAAGAATAGGTTACCACTGTGAACAACTCATATTGTGGGTCTCATACCCATCTCCCTCGATGCATTATCTATCACATTACGTGATAGACCCTTAGTAAAAGGATCTGTCAGATTTTTAGATGTTTGGATATAATCCAATGCAATAACTCTGGAGTTTCTCATTTTTTTGACAGACTTTAACCTTCTCTGAATGTGTCTTGATGACTTCATGTTATCCTTTGAGCTGCTCACTTTCATGATCACAGTTTGATTGTCGCAGTTCATAAGAGTACCCGGTACATGTTTCTCAACAACCGGCAAGTCATTCAAGAGCCGGCGAAGCCAATCTGCTTCGACCGTAACTGTATCTAGTGCTGTGAGTTCTGCTTCCATTGTTGACCTCGTTAAGATGGTCTGCTTGCAAGACTTCCAAGAAACAGCGCCACCTCCATGAGTGAATACATAACCGCTCGTGGCCTTTATCTCATCAGCATCTGAGATCTAGTTTGAGTCACTATACCCTTCAAGCACCTTTGGGTGTCCGGTGTAGTGAATTCCATAATTTGCAGTGTCTTTCAAATAACGCAAAACTCTCTCTAGAGCTTTCCAATGCACGTCTCCTGGTTTTGAGACAAACCGACTCAGTTTGCTAACAGCAAAAGAGATGTCAGATCTTGTAGCACTGGCTAAGTACATAAGCGAGCCAATAATCTGAGAATACTTCAATTGGTCTCTAGCAATTCTTCGATTTTTTCGAAGCAACACACTAGCATCATATGGTGTTGGAGAGGGCTTGCAGTCACTGTAGCCAAAGAGACTCAAGATCTTTTCCACATAGTGAGATTGAAGCAATGTAATCCCACCATCATCGTCTCTCAACAACTTGATGTTTAGAATGACATCAACCACTCCTAAATCCTTCATCTCAAAACAACAAGATAGGAAATTTTTTACCTCCTTAATAACATTCAGATTTGTTCCGAAAATCAGTATGTCATCAACATACAAGCAAAGGATAACTCCCTCGCCCCCACCATGGCGATAGTACACACATTTGTCAGCTTCGTTTACAATGAAGCCTGCAGCTATTAAAGTTCTTTCAAACTTCTCATGCCACTGTTTGGGTGCTTGCTTGAGTCCATACAAAGACTTCAGCAATTTGCACGCTTTTCCTTCCTGAACATCTAGTACGAACCCATCTGGTTGTTCCATATAACTTTCCTCATCCAACTCTCCATTTAGGAAAGCAGTCTTAACATCCATTTGATGAATGAGAAGACCATGTGAGGCAGCTAGTGAAAGTAGAACTCGAATAGTGGTCAGTCGAGCCATAGGTGAGTAAGTATCAAAGAAGTCTTCACCTTCCTTTTGGGTATAACCCTTAGCCACGAGCCGAGCCTTGTACTTTTCAATAGTACCATCAGGCCTAAGCTTCTTCTTGAATACCCATTTGCATCCTATAGGTTTGCACCCATAAGGACGATCAGTTATCTCCCAAGTTTCATTCGCTAAGATGGAATCCATCTCGTTATAAACCGCTTCCTTCTAGTAGTCAGCATCTTCAGATGCATAAGCCTCTGAAATAGAACTGGGAGTGTCATCTATGAGATACACAAGGAAATCATCACCAAAGGACTTTGTAGTCCTCTGTCTCTTGCTCCTAGTAGGAACTTCATTGTTCTCCTCCACAGGACTTTCAAAGTGTTCCATCAAAATGGCAGGTTCGGTAATTGTAACTGGCTCCTGATTCGATGAACTAGGCATCTCCTGATTAGATGAGGTAGCCATATCCTTCATGGGACAGATATCTTCAAAGAAAGTCGCATTATTCGACTCCATGATCGTACCGACATGTATGTCAGGTACCTCAGATTTTACAACCAAGAATCTATAGCCAATGCTATGAAATGCATATCCCAGGAAAACACAATCCACAGTCTTTGGTCCAAGCTTCCGCTTCTTTGGAATTGGAACATTGACTTTCGCCAAACAACCCCATGTTCGTAGATAAGAGAGTTTTAACCTTTTCTTCTCCCATTCCTCGAATGGAGTTATCTCTTTGTTCTTTGTGGGAACTCGGTTTAGGACATGACATGCAGTCAATATCGCCTCCCCCCACCATGCCTTGGAGAGACCCGAAGTGTCTAACATGGCGTTAACCAAATCTGTTAGAGTATGGTTCTTTCTTTCGGCCACCCCATTTGACTGAGGTGAATAGGGAGGCGTCCTCTCATGGATTATACCATGTTCCGCACAAAAAGCATCAAATTCATTGGAAAAATACTCTCCACCACGGTCGGACCTAAGCCTCTTGATTTTTTGATCAAGTTGGTTTTCCACTTTAGCTTTATAGATCTTGAAAAAGTTCAAAGCCTCATCCTTAGATTTTAGAAGATACACACGGCAATATCTAGTGGAGTCGTCAATTAACGTCATGAAATATTTCATTCCACCTTTTGTCAAAACACCATTCATTTCACATAGATCTAAATGTATGAGCTCTAGTGGTGCAAGATTTCTCGTTTCCGCAGTCGTGTGAGACTTACGAGGTTGCTTAGCTTGCACACAAACTTGACACTTAGATCCCTTGACAATGGTGAAACTAGGAATTAAGTTCAACTTCGCTAGTCGCGACATGCAACCAAAATTAACATGACATAGACGTGAATGCCACACATTGGATTCACTATTGTTGCAAATATGATTAACAACTTTATTGCAAACGTCTGATAAGGATAAACGAAACAGACCTCCCGACTCATAGCCTTTACCAACAAAGGTTCCATACTTGGATATTACAAATTTATTCGACTCAAAGACAAGCTTGTAGCCATCTCTACATAGAAGAGATCCGCTAACAAGATTTTTATTGACGGAGGGGACATAATGCACATTCTTCAGCCGCACGGTCTTTCCCGAAGTAAACTTCAGATTGACCGTGCCAACACCACGAACAGAAGCACTTGAACCATTGCCCATCAGCACGGTTAAAGTCCCTGCGGTCTGATAAGACGAAAACATGGAAATATCACCGCATACATGCACATTAGCACCCGTGTCAATCAACCAATCAGGAGAATGACATACTGAACGAATAGTGGGAAATATACCATACCCATCATCCTTCATGTCAGTGTCTCCAATCACAACATTAGCGGTCTTGCCGCCTTTCCCAGGGTGATGCTTGTCATAGCGATTATGGCAACTAGGAGCCCAATGATCAGGATCCCCACACACATGACAGACACCTTTCTTCTTGTCATTCTTCTTCTTGAAGTTCGTGTGTTACACAACCTTGTTCTTCCCATCAAACTTTTCTTTACCATCAAGCTTGCCCTTGTTCTTGAACTTGTGGGGCTGG